GTATCGCCCGGACAATGGGTAAATAAAGCAGACACTCAATAGGACTAGCCAGTGCAACAAGGTTGACGCGGTCAGACTTTAGGTTGAATTTACTTTTACTAAAGGGTCAGGGGTGCGTCGGGGGGGGGGGGTTGATTTAATCCCTATCTATCTCTATTCGGAGTCTTAAACAAATGAGTTGGTTGATTGGTTTGTTAATGGGTTAAATGGTTGGTTGGCTGTATGGTTTTAATATCTTTGATTGGTTGGCTGGTTGATTGGTTTATTGGTTGGTTGATTTGTTGGTTGATTTGTTGGTTGATTTGTTGGTTTGAATTTATATTTTTGTTCTGAGGAAGACCAGCGCTGTTTTTGATGATCCATTGTGGGTTTAAATTTTAATAAAACTAAATATAAAGGAATATGAATAATTTGTTTTCATGCCTCTTCAGAACTGTTAAACTGTAAACAGTCACTTACAAGAACCAGATAATTCTCACGGAACAACAAGAAACTCGTAAAAATATGAAATACATGTTTCATCTTTAACCTTTTTTTTCCAAAAAATTTCAAAACTTTCAAATTGTTATAGCTTTATACATTTTTAAACCTAGTGAACCAATATAAATATTTAGTTAACGTTTAGAAAATTCAAAAATTGAATTCATATTAAAACAAAAATTCCAATGTTTTCTAATTTATTGACAAATATTACTCAGAAGAACTATTCCAACAGGACTCCAAAACCATGGTGAATCTAGATTCAGAGAAATTTTAAGGTTAGGGTTCATTTAAATATCTTTCAAATAGATATTTTCTACCTTTCTACCTTCCTACCTTCCTACCTTCCTACCTTCCTACCTTCCTACCTTCCTACCTTCCTACCTTCCTACCTTCCTACCTTCCTACCTTCCTACCTTCCTACCTCCCTCCCTACCTACCTACCGTCCTACCTACCTACCTACCTTCTTACCTACCTTTCTACCTTCCTACCATCCTACCTTCCAACCTTCCTACCTTCCTACCTTCCTACCTTCCTACCTTCCTACCTTCCTACCTTCCTACTTTCCTACCTTCCTACTTTCCTACCTTCCTACCTTCCTACCTACCTACCTTTCTACCCTCCTATACTTTTTACCTTCCTAAACATGATATTTCAATATTTTTACAATTTTTTTTTAAATTTAGAAAATATTTTTAGTTTCTATATATTATTAATATCTTATTTTGAATAGAGCCCGGCGGTCTGTAGCCAAGGTCAAGAGCCTTGAGTTTCTGTCAAAATACGCATTTTTTAGTCACAATATACGCATTTTTAGCATTTCCTGGGTTTATGCGTTGAATAGCGGATAATTGGTTGCGTAGGGTGCAGGCGCATAGGGTTTATTGATTTATCACACAAACAGACATTTACACACACATACACACACACACTACTGACATACATTCAATCCACAATAGTTCGGTATAGTTCGTTGTCAAACGATCGGTTCGGCTTCGTTCAAACTTACATTTTGTTTGAACAAACATTTTTAAAAACTATGTCTTAAAAAATTGACAATTCCAGTTGAATCTTACATTTTTTAACTTCGACTTGTTTTTAACAATTCTAAAACTATGAAAATATCTACAATGTCTACGTTTGTTAAGATGTTGTTAACACTTTAGGCCATTCAAAACAGTTCTAACAGGTAAGGACGAACTCCTGATTATGCCTAAGTTTTTGGCGAAATATATATTACGAAGAAATTGATGTAGTTTTAGTGATGGAGAGTTAAATTAACAGAGAACAAATAAAACTATGGAATAGGAAGATTACATTTAATTAATTTTATGTGTATTTGGTGTTGTTGAAATAGTTTTAACACTAGCATGGGTTTGTGTTATCTGGACAATTGCTGTGTTTCACATTCAGTAGACTATTCAAAATCATAACTGGAGTCTAATAGTCGTCTTCCTATTCCACAGTTTTATGGGCGACTTCCCAACTGACAATTTCCCAAGTGGCAACTTCCCAACTGACAATTTCCCAAGTGGCAACTTCCCAACTGACAATTTCCCAAGTGCCAACTTCCCAAGGGTTAGGTTAGGCCCATTATAGGCTCCGCCACATATAGAGTGTCATCAATTTTTAAGACAGGGTTCGAATTTGAAGTGTCACAAAGCCTTGGGCTTTGATTTTACAGCTTTACTCATGCTTTTCTGTAGCCCTTTTTATCACAATTAAGCATTTGATGTTAGAGTTGGTTTTTAAGAAGTAATTGGCAAAATTCACATAGACTTTTTCTTATGGACTTGAGACCTATTAACCACAGTGCCTCAGGCTGCAGTAGGGGTGCAGGAGCTGCGGCTAGGATAGGATAGGGGGCCGAGCGCTGCGGCTAGGATGGGTTAGGGGGCCGAGGGTTACAGTTAGGACATATTCAGATCCCATTAAATCTCATGCTGACAATACTTCATGGGTCTTGGCATACTGACCATCTTTTACATTTATCTATCTAGCTAACTATGTAGTAAATGCCCTACTCCATAAGAGTCTCTCAGACCCGTATCAATCCAGGTACAACACAATCCCTCTCGTTGGTCTACGAGGCATAAGAGATATTCAGTTAAACAACTCTTCAGTATCAATGTCAACACGGACATGATCTCATAAACTATCAATGTCAAAGACGAATACGATCTTGTGAACTATCAATGTCAAACACTGACACAATCTCATCAAATCGTTTGCTAAGCCAGGAACGATTACTTCTCTCACTGTAATCAAAGTGGAGTCTACTCCAACTAAATGTATTTGAGGTTCTATGTTACAAGTTACAGTTAATCGACATAATTTTAAGTTTTACGTCGATATATATACAACGTGATTAAGCTAATCTTGTTACATACAAATTTAAAGTGCAGTTCAGATAAATCACGATAAGGGTTTTACGTAGCTATTTACAAACATAGATAATTAATAATTTACATAATTCAGGTTTACAGATATAGTGTTACACGATATTCATTACAACTATAGATCTTTCTATCTAACTATTTATTTATCTATTTATCTATCTATCTATTCATCTATGTATCTATTTATCTACCTATCCATTTATATCTCTATCTATACATCTATTATCTGTCTACATATCTATCCACCTATCCATCTATCTATATATCTATATATCTATTTATCTATCTATCTATCCATGTATCCCTCTTTCTATCTATCTATCAATAAATATATCTCTATTTATCTATCTATCTATCTATCTATCTATCTATCTATCTATCTATCTATCTATCTATCTATCTATCTATCTATCTATCTATCTATCTATCTATCTATCTATCTATCTATCTATCTATCTATCTATCTATCTATCTATCTATCTATCTATCTATCTATCTATCTATCTATCTATCTATCTATCTATCTATCTATCTATCTATCTATCTATCTATCTATCTATCTATCTATCTATCTATCTATCTATCTATCTATCTATCTATCTATCTACCTATCTATCTAATTATATATCTATCAATATATCTATTTATTTAACTATCTATCTATCTTTTTTTCTATCCATATATTCAATACAATTCTCTCTGTATTCTTAAGTGTGTTTTTAATGACACAGAAATATGTATCAATCCAGATACAGCTGTCTTTGTATTCTCAAGTATGTTTCAATCATGATACAGCTCTCTCTGTATTCTCAAGTATGTATTAATCCTGATACAGCTCTCTTTGTATTCTCAAGTATGTATTAATCCTGATACAGCTCTCTCTGTATTCTCAAGTATGTATCAATCCTGATACAGCTCTCTTTGTATTCTCAAGTATGTATTAATCCTGATACAGTTCTCTTTGTATTCTCAAGTATGTATTAATCCTGATACAGTTCTCTCTGTATTCTCAAGTATGTATTAATCCTGATACAGCTCTCTTTGTATTCTCAAGTATGTATTAATCCTGATACAGTTCTCTCTGTATTCTCAAGTATGTATTAATCCTGATACAGGTCTCTTTGTATTCTCAAGTATGTATTAATCCTGATACAGTTCTCTTTGTATTCTCAAGTATGTATTAATCCTGATACAGTTCTCTCTGTATTCTCAAGTATGTATCAATCCTGATACAGTTCTCTCTGTATTCTCAAGTATGTATCAATCCTGATACAGCTCTCTCTGTACTCTCAAGTATGTTTCAATCCTGATACAACTCTATCAAACTCTATACTCTCTACCGAGAGCTAATACGTCTGACCGTAATAAAACAGAGTTCAAATTCAACTAAACTTTATTTTGGTATAATTTACAGATTAAGATTAAACTGACCGATAATATAGTCAGGTGATTATAGCGTAATATATATACAGGTAGGTTTAGGTTTCCAAGATATGGGGGTTATTACTATATTTATTACATATTTATATATCTTGGTAGATATAGATAGAACCCATTTATAATTTTGATTTTCAAACCATCTAAAAAGGAACTGAATACTTGCCACAAACTCTTATTCTCAAATCCCCATTTCTATGCAACCTGACGGTGTAAACCTTTGATATTTCAAACATAGTTATAAGGTTTCAAAGATATAGGAATTAGATATTAGAAATTATTATTAACATTTTTCTAACATGGAATTCTGAAACCTTATTCAATCTTTCATTATTTTAGTCAAGTATAAGTTTTTATTACTGTCCTAAGACATTCCGTATAAAACCCAAAATCAGATTTTAAATAAAAAATTTCTTTGGTAACTTTTAATCAACATTAAGTCTCATAAAGTGACACTTTTTTCAAATATTCTTTTGCTATAAATTTCATTCTTCTTTTTCTATCATTCAACACCAGTATCAAGTAGAGAGTTTTTTGATTGATTTTTCATCAAACCATAGATAATATAATGATATGAACTTTTTTAGTTGCACACATGTTTATTTTTTTAATGTTTCAAATTGTGATATTTAAAACTTCTGTACTCTATTCCTTTTCATTTTATTGAGAACAATTAACAAGAATTTGCTGCATTAAATCCAATTTATTTTTAGAAAAGCCAATATTTTAAATCAAATTAATAATTTGAGTTACAATAGAATGATTATACATCTTTGTATCAACAAGTAATTGATACAGAGGCATGGTAACTATGTTTATATTGTAGAGGTTCCTCCCTCCACTCTTCACCCTTAAGGATTTCCAGGCTGTCTTCACCTCCACCTTCCCCTCCAAATACTACCAGGCTGTTGTCCAGCACCTCCATTGTTGGGTACCTTCTCCCCCTGGTCAGCTTAAGGCCACTCCTCCAGGTGTTTGTAGACTGTGTGAGGACTTCTACAACATCTAGATTTCCATAATACCATCCTCCAGCTGTCCATATTTCCCCCTTAAACATGCTGCATGCTAGTCCAGTCCTAAGCAAACAAATATTAAAAAACAATATTCATATGAAATGGTTTTAGAAAGTATAGTTATAATTTTATGTTATTTTATATATCTGCTTTTTTTCATAAATGCAATTTATCACAAAGGAACTGATTCATAGCTACAAACCCAATTTTTTAATCCCCATTTCTTTGCAACCGGATGATTTAAACATTTGATTCTTAAATTTGGACAATTTTATCTTACAGAATTCATTATTTTAAGTATTAAAGGTCTATAACACTGGGTTGCAAAGATATTTGAATTAGAAATTGAGAGTTTGTGGCAAAAAATCACTTTAATAGCAATTAAATGGTTTTTTTATTTAGAAAGCACCAGACAAAGAGTCTGAGAATGAGTATGAAATAAAAACATTTTGATGATTAATTTATTATTATTATTATTAAGATTATGAATCGTTGATAATATTAGATTTGAATATTTAAATTAATTAAATCCACTTGTATATATTATTGTATATTAGTGTACATTTATTGTATGTATTTGTGAGAAGTATGTTCAAACTTATTTATCAATTTAATAATGACACTATTAATATTAGAAAAAATCATGAAAGATATAAAATAGGAACATGTCTAAATGTTTCAGTCTTCTGATATATTTTAGAAAGATTACCTTGCAGTTGGTAATGACGGAAGCTCTGCAATGAATCCCTCTTCAATACTGTAGACTTCAACAAGAGATAAGTAGTCGTTAAAATATCCTCCAAGCAGCATCACTTGACTCTCACTAGAATATAAAATGTTAAGAAATATAAAAAGAATTAAAAAATGCTTACAGTTTTATTTTTAATGATATTATCTATGATTCTGTTCATTTGTGCCAACTTTAGATTAGGGTTTCCACCAAAATTCCGGGTTACGGTTTACGTACAGAAATGATCCGGAAATTTTTTCCATTTCCATTATGGAAAAAGTTCCGGAATTCCGGAACGATTTTTTTCCGTAAACCGTGAATTTCCGGAATGTTCTTCCAAAATTACGGAATGTTCCAGAATTCCGGAAAAATCGTTCCTGAATTTTCCGGAAAGCTTATTAAACAGTTTCCAATTCCATATAGACAAAACCAGTAAGTAAAACTAACAACGTTTGGTCCGTTTGGTAGAATGCTTTCGTTTTTTTTTTCGGAACGATGGGATCGTTCTTGATCGTTCCGTTCGTTCTCGGCAAAGAACGATCGTTCCACCGTTAACGCGCCCAGCCCTACATAGGGGTGGGACAGGGCGGGAAAAGTCTGATCTTTGAAAAAAAATCTAAAATAGCCCATCATTTGTTTGTGACTAAAGCTACAGATCTAAAAACTATAGTTTTGAAAAGCCCTTGAAAAATAGATGTAGAAACATGGGTCACACTTTGATATTTGTTTAAAACAAAAAAAATATTTTTTCATTTTTCTGAACCTTTTTTTTGGCGTTTTTTTCAACCCTCCCAAGCACCTGCCCAAACCAACAACCTAAGTTATCGGTCTAATTTTTTCTTCAATGAGCTGGCCTTCAAAAATTTGGCTATGCACATGCATTTCAACCCTATACCTATTCTCTAAGGCCTTTTTCTAGGGGGGTGGGGGGCGTCAAACGCCCCCCCAGGCTATACATAGATTCAGACCCCCAACCTTTATAGGGTTAAGGTAAAGGGAAAACCAAACACTGGAATAGTCTTGCATATTGATGAACTGTAGTTGTAGACCAGTAGTAGCTGACTTTTAAACTTTGTAAATATGAATTTAATTAAAATAAAAAAAATTCTTTAAGCTCTGCAAGTCGTCTTTTGTATTTCTCTTACATTCCGTAAACCAGAATTTTTCCGGTTTATGAAATGGAAACTGGAAAGTTTACGGTTTATGTTACGTAAACCGGAAAAATTTCCGGTTTACGAAATGGAAACTGGAAATTTTATGGTTTATGTCATGTAAACAGGAAAAATTCCAGTTTCCATTTTGTAAACCGGAAATTTGTCTGGTTTACGTGACGTAAACCGTAAACATTCCGGTTTCCATTTGATCAGAAAATATCCCGGAATTCTGGTTTACGCAACAAATTTCCTGATCTTTCCATTTCCAAAATGGAAATTTTTTTCGGGAAAAATGGAAACCCTACTTTTGATGTAAGATATCTTTAAATATTAACAGTTTTTTCTTTTAAAAAAGGGAATTTAGCAAAGTTGAACAATGTTTGTAATACAAATATAAGTAGGTACATCTTACTAGATTTATTTTTGAAAACATGGTTGAAAATATGTATAAGAATTCATCTTATTTCATTATTATTGATTAATTATATGTGTGCACTTGTCATGATTAATATATATTAATAAAGTGTATACCTGATAGGAACAGCACAGTGACCATATCTTGCAGATGTCAATTCATAGTTTTGAAGCTTCCAGGAGGATCCCTCAAACACCTCCACAGTAGCAGTTTTACTAGTCCTAGTAAACAAATATATAATTTTAAATGACACAGGCGAAGGGATTTGACTGAAGTATTCCAGTTTGTGAGAATGTTTATATAATAATTCAATATCTTAATTTAGAAACATCCATTTTTCTATTAGGAAAAAAAGCTAGATGATCAATAAAGAACAAAAAGGTTTATAAAACAAATAAGAATAAACACAGAACATACCCCTCGTAATTATATCCACCTGCAGCAAGTATCTTGTCTCCTAGTGTAGTCAGGGTAAAGTGATATCTAGCCACATTCATACTTTCAAACTCTATCCAGTCCATTCCCTCATTCTTGAAGCAGTTGCTAAACAAAAATATTCAATTTCAACTTTTATTTTGTGAATTTTTATCTTTTTTAATACATATAATTTGTATATTCTATATTTTATTATTGTTTGATTTATTAGTTTTCACTAGTTCACTATATTCTACCTGCGGTATTCTAGAGCTGTATTGGTTTGCAACATTTAGGAGTTTAACACAGTTTATTTACATTACAATGTGTTTGAATCCCCTCTCCCTCCATCACTATATTATTTTGATTTGAATGTATTTATTCAATTAAAAAAAATGTCAGTGTATTTTAAATATGATGTAAACAATACTGACTGATAGCAAGTATAAAAATAGTTTTGATTAGTTTCTTTTTGGGCATTGCTGTAGCTCTTAAAAAAACTAGCAGAATACTAAAATGTTAAAATGCTCCAATCTTTAGTTCTTTAAGTGTAAAAACACAAAGATTGCATCAAAGAATAATAGTTGCATTTATAATGAATTGAGTCTTTGCTACAAACTCTGATTTTACAATCTTTTAAACTATGAATTCTATTATATCAAATAGTCTAGATTTAAAATATCAAAAGTTTACACCATCATGTGGCAAAGTTATGATTATAAAATTGTGGCAAAGACTCAGTTTCTATGAAAGGTATCAGTAAAATAACTAATTTCTGCACTTATGTCTAGTTATTCTTTATTAAAAGAACTAGATTACTCACCACAGACTTAAATTTTCTTATCCCTATATCTTTGAATCTGATGGTGTAAACCATTGACACTTTAAACTTTAAACAATTTTATCTAATAGTATTCATAGTAATAAAAATGTCTAAGGTCAACAACATCAGGTTGCAAAGGTATTGGATAACAGAGTTAGAAGGTGTTTAGTTACTTTCCTTACAGTGATTATTTCTAAAATATAAAACCTAAATGTTCAAGAATTTCCAATATAAAATTTCTAAATTATCATCCTTAATCATCTGTTTTAATAGGGAAACTTTGAATATGGATTTAGCGCTGAATAATCATTAAGTAATAGATAGGTTTAAATGTTAATAAATCCTATTCTAGTATTTAATGTAATTAAACTGTATGTATCAACTCCTAAGTTGCATACCACCATCCCATCCCCCGCAGTAAACAATCTGTCCATTCAGAACTGCAGCTCCTAGGATATATTAATATAATTAACTAAATAAAAGTACACCTCTATTAAAACCAATATATTAAACAAAATATATATATTTATTTTCTTATGTTCTTATAGTTAGAAAATCAATTATATTTTGTTGTATTATTCATAGGAATTCCATATTGTAAAATAAATTAATCTATAATTCTTTGATAGATTTAAATTGTGTATTTAAATTTGAATTTCTCTTTGTAAACTACATTATATTATTTATGCTTAATTTTCAGGGGTCTATATAATTCCTTTTTCAATCCCATTTGGGATTGACAAATTTGTAGAAAAACTTACCATAGCCACTTCCTCCAAGAAGTACAGCAGTTGTTTCTGCAGAAACAGATCCCTACAATAAATACCAATATAAACATAATGACATTTTAAACCCTTATAACTACAAATATGAAAATAGAAAGAAAGCTGTAAGATTAATTATTGAGTGAAATCGTTTTCACATTTTCATTAAATAAAGCATACTGTTTTGCCTATAAATAGCAGGATAGGGTTTGAATTGATATAAAACTTACCCTGCTACAGGAGGCCAGATATCCAGCAAAAAGAATAGATACAGTCGAAAGAATCATACCTGAAAGAAACAAATGTTGTTTAGTAAAATTATTCATAAATGTTTTCTTAATTGCTTAAACTGACAATTATAATTTGCATTGAAAACTATTTGAATTAAATTGATAATTGAATATTTTACCTTATATTTTTTTCTGAGTTTAGCAGTAAAGTTTTGAATTTTATAAAGCACTAATAAATTCATAAACTTATTCATTCTTTTATACTGTTCAAACCTTAGATAATGCTTGTAAGTAAACATGGACTTTAAACTCAGGATTCCAGAAACACAAAAGCATCATTATTTAAAAAGTGTACAAAGTACGAAAACAACAAACAGACGTACAATGTAAAGATTACACAGTGAAAAAGACAGATGGCATGGTACATTCCAGTTCATTTCATGTACTGGGCCGAATTTCTACTGGCCAAGGCAAGCAGTACTGTACAAATAAAGGCTATATGAGGCAAAACGGGACTGTACACGAAATGAATGATCCCCTTCTAGTGCAATTTATGTGAAGAAGAAACTCAAATATATGCGACATTACTGGTACAATTTTTTACCTCGTAGATCCTTTTCTCGCTCTGAATTTACGCAAACTTTGATGGCAAATTTATCAAATTTCATATTATAAATTTTAAACATTTAGTTCTCTCAAAAACTTTTTTAAAGTAGGAGTTATGATTATAAAACATATAAGATTTCAATATTAGGTGCAATTTTCTTTAGCTTGACATGTACAGCACAGAATGTACAGCCTAAAGTAAACAGAGTACAGTGTACATCAGACAGTGTGCAGCATACAGTGTACAATGAACAGCGTACAGTGCACACCATACAGTACACTGTTCAGTGCATATAATAGAGTGTACAGTGTAGAGTGTACGGCGTTCAGCTTACAGTGTACAGTGTACAGTGTACAGTTTATAGTGTACAGTGTACAGTGTACAGTGTACAGTGTACAGAGTACAGTGCACAGTGTTCAGTGAACAGCGTATTGTGTACAGCGTACAGGTACAGGTAGGTTCATGTTTATAAGATATGGGGTTTATCACTATATTTATTACATCCTCATATATTTATTACATATCTATTATCTATCTATCAATCCGTATCTATCAATCTATATGTCTATTTATCCATCTATCTATAAACTAAAGATCTTTCAATCTATTAATCTTTATATTCATGCATCTGCAATTCTCATGGAGTGCATTCAACAAAGAGAATAAAATATACTAGAGTGGAATTTAAACAATCCCTCGGTATGAATTTTGTCAGTCCCTTTCAGCCTGAAAGGGAGTTCAAAGTGTCCAAATAATGTAAATGTTCACAAATTATATTCAGTACATCACACTAATACAGTATGATCCCTGGACATATCCATTCCAATTTTTTTTTATAAAGTTCTTTAATAACTTTAAACGCGTGTATTCGCTGTATGTGAATTAAAATCATTATTTTATCAAACATTAAAATGTAAAAATCGTCGTTTAAAGTGAATGTCAACAGAATTGTTAATCGTTTTTGCTTCAGACTCTTTTGTACACTGCAATTAATATCTTGTTTTAAATTAATTTTTTAAGCTTTTTGGGCACTTTGCGCCCATTTTAAGTGTGAACATTTTTTTTTAGGGGGAGGCAAGAGGGAAATATTTTATGCATAAAATGATGATAGTTATTAGAAGGAATATAGATAAGGTATCAAGTTTCCCTGATATAGTGCTCGGGGATATTTGTTACATCTTCTTAACGAAGGGACATGCCCCCTCCTTAATCAGGCTAGGGGGGGGGGCCTTACCCTCCGTACCCACTCCTAGTTGCGTGTCTGATTGTAAAACAAAAACAAACAAAAAGTAATTTAAGGGTTTCAATTTTTACAATATATATTTGTCTCCAAAATTTGGATGATTTCCGTAAATCAATGCAGAAAACATTATACTAGTTGTCCCAGAAAGCAAAACAATTAGAAGACGACTCTAGCAAGGGGATTCTAGGATTAAGCAAG